GTCGCCTCACAGGTGTCTGGCCACCGCCGGCGTCAAGAACAAAGGCTGCCTGTCCCGGGAGGGGGAGGGGAGGGAGCCGCCCCCAGACCCGCTCCGGGCTCCTTTCCTTCCCCCAACTGCGGCACAAGCTCCCCGGGGAGGGGGCGGGGCCGGCCGGGCTGGGCGCAGACGAGCATCAGCTCCTCCTCCACCGTCCTCGGCTAGGATGGCACCCGAGCTTTCCAGGGAGAGCAGGGATAAGGGTACCCCCAAACTGTCGTCACTGGGGTGGTTCTTCCTTCTTCCCCTGCATCCCGGGCGCCCCGCCCCCGCGACCGCCTTGGGCGCCCTTCCCAGTCTCTGCAGCGCCCGGCCGCCCCAGACGGCAACCACAGTTCAAAATCAGATTAAAATAAAACGTTAATCTGCCTTCCTCCCTTTAGCTCCTAGTTCTCCCAACGGACCCAGTCAGGACTGGCGGCCTAGAAACCTCTAAAAGCGGGGGAGGGGGTGTGCGCTTAGCCAACGCCCCCACCAAGGCCAAAGGCCCCTTGCGCTGAAATTGAGAACCGTTAGCATCCTCTTCGGGGCTTGTAGCAGAAAGGGGTTCAGTAGAGGGGACGCCTAGCGTTTCTCCCAGCCCTGCTGGCCCGCGAGGGTCCGAGAGTGACTGTGCAGATACGAACCCTTCGACCTGCCCGGCTCCTGGGCAGGGCCTGCTGTGGCCGTGAGTGCTGTAGACCATCTGTTCCGGAAGCGAGACCAACCCTCGGCGGTGGCCCGGCGCGTCCCAAAATTTTGGCGTCTCCCGATGCGCAGCGGGAATGGGGTGAGGTGCGTGGAGATGCTGGACCGGACACTGCTCGACAAGCCAGGGGTGGGTTGGCTCCGCGTTCACCCCTCCCGGCTCACTAGAGTCACCCTCCGCCATTCCAGTCGCCCTGAGCCTTCTGGGCCGCATCCCCGCCTGCGCCCTACCTGGGCTATGGGGAGGTCTTGGGCGAGGTGTGCCGGGGAGCACAGGCCACCCCGGCTGCGAGTGGCCCCCGCGGGCTGCTGCGCCCCT